TATTGCGCTCATATGACTTTACTAGCATTAATTCACGTTATGGAGGGTGTGCGGATACTTTTGTCCACCCTCTGTATTATAATTTATAAATATTCTTTACCATCTAATATTTGAATAATTTTTCATTGTTTTTTATTTTTCTTTTAATTTAATTTTTTTTTTTTATCCCCCCGGTCTTTTGTTTGTATTTTTATTTATTCGTCCCCCTCCCCCATTCTTTTTTTTTTAATTTCATTTTTTATCGTTTAGTTAACTAAATATTTATGTGAAAATTAAATTAATTATCAAATTTCAAATGTGAAACGTAATCCGCTAAATGGTATACATTATAACAGGCGAATTTTTGTGAAAATATTCTTATAATAAATAAACTCATGTCCATTTATAATATCTACATTATGTGTCTTCCATAATTGTATTATAAAAAAAGAAAACTAAATTTAAATAACACAGGAATCTTATTTTGATACCCTTCAAGTTGCATCATTTTTTGAATGTGTTTTGTTTGTTAATAAAATTTCTGTTAATTATTTTGCACGGTTTTGTGTTCGGTACGTTCGGTAATGTATTATGACAGTCAACGTTGCTGAAATAAATAATCCAAGATTCAGTGATTGAATTTCGCAAAATATTGCGAGATCGTGACAAATTCAGATTCGGCCTTACTGCGCGGCAGATCCAATTAAACTGTTGCATCTAGGATTCTGCCTTTCGTGCGAAATACAATTTATTTGATCGTGCTTTATTCCTACTTATCAAAACATTTTGCATTATCAATGAAACAGAGAAACACCGGATAAATATATAACTCGTATGGAGAACTCGCTAATCTCAAAGAAATTGCTTCATAATTTGCTTTTTTTAACCCAAGTATTCTTATCAAAACATTTAAAAATATAAATGTTCACAAATTTATTTATTTCATGATGTTTATGGCTTGTGTTCCAGCTGTTATTTCTACAATTTCTACATTTGTCGAAGTTGGAGGATCAGCGTCCAGCAGTACATCGTTAAGTGGTAATAATAGAGACTCAACGCTGTATGGATACCACATTTACTTGGCCTTTAATAAGTAAGAAAAAGGTTTGTTCTTCTGATAGAATCTGATGTTTTAAAGTGATCTCTTATGATGAAAGCAATGGAAGTGTTGATTATAACGCTACTTGTTTTTATTATCAACGTATTGGACTATTCCTAATCATGGATTTAAAATGTAATATCGAAACAACAGATCTTTATCTCTTATAAGGTCATTTACTAGGTGCATATGAAAAATTCTACAATTATTCATTTTGATGAATAGAGTTAATAAATAAATTCTAAGTCATTACTATTTTTTTTTTATTATATTAAAATGATATAAGTAAAGTGAAATTATAGCCTTATAGTTAATAAAATGTGTCATTTGCTATTAAAATCGAGATACGAACATAGTGTCCATAACATGAAATTAATAGCGACCTCCCATATTATCATGTACACTAAAACAATTCATACCAAATTTCACGTGATAACCTGCTGTTAGTTTTTAATATTTTGATTGATTCTATTTATTGGTGATTTCCATGATATCTTTTAGGAAGTGTATTTGAAGTCTCCGGCATATGAAGAATCCTCAGGACTTAAAATTGTTGACGAAGTAAGAAACGTCATTAATGGACCGGCACTACAAAACGTTGCGGTGTTTTAATTGAAGAGGGAGTAATTACATTTATGCCATATACATGATATTTATTAGATTTATAAAAATTTCAATAAACCTTATAATTTCCTCTATTTATATATTTATGTAACATACAAATAATTTTATAAAATTTAATACCAGACTGCTAAATTTATTTCAAATAATTTATCATAAAATAAAAATCAAAAATAATTTTCACAAACAATAACGTATAAATTAAATCCTTAAATATAATAAACTTTATCAAGAATTTGGTGATTTTGACTATCTTATAAATACATTTATTTTAAATATTTTTATTAAAGGCAAAAATTACGAAAGTTTCGACGGATGGCAAAATCTCGAAACCTTCTGATATTAGAATATAGTTTTTGAATTTAAAATTTTGTTTAACGAGATGAGCAAATCGTATATAGCAAAGATCACTTTCTTTTTACATATTGATCATCAAGTTACATCATTAATTTTCATTAAACTCATCTGGATGTTGACATTCGAATTTAAATCCGGATACAAAATTGGCCTAGCACAAAACCGGATTCTCATGCAACAAAATGATTAGAACTATGACTAGCATTGATGAAAATTTATAGGATTTCATAAAAAGCGCCGTATAATTTATTAAGCAAAAAATTATTTGATCTGCACAGTTTTTGAGAGATTCGATATTCGAATTTAAATCCGAATCCGATTTTTAAAATTAAATAAACCCCGTTCCAACCTCTATCATCATCTTCTGATAAGAAAATTTTTCGAATTCTTCAACAAGTACCAATGTTTCCAAATTTAAAACCTGCTAATTAAATAATGTATTATTTTGGAAACTTTGTTCCTAATTTTAAAAAAAAATCGTTATTATATTCTACATACATTGTGATAAAAGAAATCTGTTAAACCATCAAATTTTCAAAGTTGTTATCGAAACTGTCGAAATAATTACTGAAAAGTTTCTAAAATGGGTTTAGGGTTTTGCCCCGCAACTGAGTATTACGCTCAAAACCTCTGAATACTAATCGTGAATATGAACAGGTGATATCAAAGCATGCTGATAGATTTAATTTCCACTTTTGGTGAAGTTATATAGCCACATCATCTATATTTAATATCAGACGTTTATATATGTAGTTACGAACAAAATTTAAAATCGAAATGAGTTTCTCTGCTACTTTACTTTTTATGTGTATTTACCGAAATTATTAATCACCTATTAAAATATCACAAAGTTAGTTTAATTATAAACTTTCGTTACAGGTATGTAAGAGTCACGAAACTATTAACCATTTTATTAGAATATAACGTAATTCGAGACGAAAATAAGTTTGTTTATATTGAAATTCTGGGAAAGTCAACTAGGAGAAAATCCCTCCGGAATGTAGTGAAGTCGAGGCTGAAGATCCAATGCTAAAATATGATATATTTTGTTTGTTCATGTTATTTATTAAAATTTCTAGTTTGTTCAAATCAATATGTATAAATAAAATATTTAACCGATCGTGAACCGCTTAAATGACCAATTTTATTTTTAGTTTATTTAAATAAAAGGTTTAAATAAATTTGCATACTGATGTACTTATTAATAGTAGTAACTTTTAAGGATTATTTAGGCTGGTTCCAAACCTAAAAATTTATTAACTGAAGTAATTTCTGAATGAATGCATAAATATTTTTCGCTTAATTAACTGAACGATTATTATAATTCTTATTTGAAGTGTATGACAATGAATAATGATATCTCAAATTTATAGCAACGATAAAAGTAATTTTTATTAAAAATATATTTTTTTGGGAACCTTTAAAACAATTCATTCAAAATATTAACAATTCTCTTGTATCATTTTATCATTTGCATATTCACTTTTTCTTAATTGTGAATTTTTAGCTAAGCTAATTAAATTTTTACTTCCTAATTGAAGTCTTTTTAAATTAAGATTATTACTTAAATCAATATCCTTTACTTCGCTAAACGGCAGTTCTAAGATTTCAAGTTTATCATTATTACTAATATTAATGCTTGTGATGTTATTGAAAACAATGAATTTTTCCAAATTAGGATAAGCTGATAAATCAAGTGAACCTTTTGTGGTAATCTTTCCCGATACCTCCTCAATTTCTTTTACAGATCTATCGGGGTATTTTAGCTCATACTGTTGTTGTAAAATTATTTCAGGAGGAAATATTATATTACTTTTAAACGTTTTACTTGCTGATAATGCTTTTCCGATGCATATCTCACCATCATTAAGATATTCTGTATCCTCTTCAACAATTTTTTTAAGCTTTCTAGTATTTGACAAATCCAAAAAAGTTAATTTATTGTTGTAGCAGGAGAGAATTGATAAGGATTTGGATGAAGTTATGCCAGTTATTTTAGTGTCATTACAGTAGAGAGATTTTAAAGAGTTCGGCAAGGTTGGTAAACTAGTTATCTGAGTATGATAGCAGCGAAGTGATGTTAAGGAGTTGGGTAAGGTTGGTAAACTATTTATCTGAGTGTTAGAGCAGGAAAGAGTTGTTAGGGATTTAGATAATGCCGGTAAGCTAGTTATCCGAGTATTATGACAGTAGAGAACTGTTAAAGAGCTAGATAAAGTGGGTAAGCTGGCTAATTGTGTATTGAAACAATTGAGAGTTTTTAAGGATTCGGGTAAAGTTGGCAAGCTTGTTACTTTGGTATTTGAGCATTCGAGAATCGTTATGGAGTTAGGTAGAATTGGCAAACTTGTTATTTGAGTATGCGAGCAGTAGATTTCTTTCAAGGAGTCAGGTAAGGTTGGTAAGCTAGTTAATTTGGTATTAGAGCATTCAAGAATCGTTAAGGAGTCAGGTAAAGTGGGTAAACTAGTTATCTGAGTATCAAAGCATTCAAGTGTCATTAAGGAGTTAGGTAAAGTTGGTAAACTAGTTAGTTGCGTGTGCGAGCAACAGATTTCTTTTAATAGGTAAGGTAATTTTGGCAATTTGGTAATTTTAGTGTAAGAACAATTAAGGATTGTCAAGGAATTTGGTAAAATGGGTAAACTCGTTATTTGAGTTTTATAGCAATAGAGTTCTCTTAAGGAGTTTGGTAATGTAGATAAGCTAGTTATTCGATTATTAAAGCAGATGAGAGTGGTTATGGTGTTAGGTAAAGTGGGTAAACTAGTTATTTGAGAATTATGACAGTCAAGTATAGTTAGGCTGGGTAGTAAAATTAAGCTAGGTAAAGTTAGGTGAGCTATTCTAGTATTGTGACAATAGAGTGTTTTTATTGGTAAGCTATTTATTTTAGTGTTGGAGACGGATAAAATTGTTAAAGAGTCAGGTAAAGTTGGCAAGTCTTTTATTTTAGTATTATTGCAGCAGAGCAATGCCAAGGAATCAGGTAAAGTTGGTAATTCAAGTATTCGAGTATTATTACAATGGAGTTCCTTTAAGGAGTTTGGTAAAGTAGGTAGATCAGTTATTGTAGTGTTGTAGCAACATAGGGTTATTAAAAACTCAGGTAAAGTTGGCAAGCTTGATATTTTAGTATTAGAGCATTTAAGAATCTTTAAGGATTCGGGTAAGGTTGGTAATTCATATATATTAGTATTATCACAGTGAAGTGTCGTCAAGGTATCCGGTAAAGTTGGTAAACTGCTTATTTTTGTATTATCACAGTGAAGTGTTGTTAAGGTATCAGGTAATGTTGGTAAACTGCTAATTTTAGTATTATCACAATGAAGTGTTGTTAGGGAGTCGGGTAAAGCTGACAAGCCGGTTATTTTAGTATTATCACAGCGAAGTGCCGTTAGAGAGTTTGGTAAAGAAAGATATCCAGTTATTTGAGTGTTTGAGCAAAATAAATTTGTTAAGGAGTCAGGTAAAGCCGTCAAACTGGCTATTTGAGTATTGTAGCAGTGAAGGGTTGTTAGAGAATTTGGCAAATCGGGTAAGCTAATGATTGGAGTATCGGAACAGTCAAGATAAGTTAAAGAGTTTGGTAAAGTTGGTAAACTAGCAATTTGAGTATTCTGGCAACAGAGTGCTGCTAAATTTCGATATCGTCGTAATCCCTCCATGGAGTTCAAGATGACATTCTTATTAGTATCAGTAATGGTTAAATAAATAATATCCAGTTCTTGGATGTTGACATTTTCATTTTGCTCTTTAATTATTTCTTCCTCTTCTTTCCCACTAATCTTTTGCTCTCGAATCTTTTCTTGTAAATCCTTAATAATCTCTTGCATGGCCTTCGCTTCTTCTTCTTGCTCCCTAACCTTCTTTTCTAAAGTTTCAATGGTTTCGCTTTTTTTCGTCAAATCGGAAGTTAAGTTTTGAGAGTCGAATTTCCTTTCATCTAATTCACCTAATATCTCTGCAAGCTTTCGTCCTGCCAATAATTTTTTTAAATCATCTAAATCCCTACTACCTATTTCGTTCAGTAGCAATTGATTTTCTTCGGGTTTCTCTTGAGTAGGATTATTTTCCATAATGAATTAATTTCTTTTTAAATATTTTAAAGATATTGTTTGCGTTTTTATAATTTCTCGTCTGTGAAACTTTCATGGGAATTTATTCAGCCCTCGTCCGCTCGGTTATTCTCGGGATCGACATTTATTATATCAAGGCAGGCACAACATACAATGCATATGCATCATCATTCAAGTTTCAAAACAAAGAGCTTTCTTATGGTAAATTTTTGGTCAATCACATCTTGTTTTTCATTGTGACTATAAGATATAGATAAAATTAATGTAACAAATAAACCGGAATCTTTTTATATATATAAATAACTTATTTATATACGATTAAATTTTCTGATATGGAAATAAATAATGAGGTTGGGGTTAAATTCCTAAATGTATTGTTCAAAAAATTTTGTCGTGAAAAAAAAAAATTACTCTCGGTGTATGCAAAGGTAGTGTAAACCTCTCTTTCTATCCATTTAAGATAACCTAAACAGGTTAATAAAGTAGAACATGCAGGGGGAACGGTCATCCAATAAAATTACCGGCAATTTTTCAAAGACCCTTTGACAATCTATCCGATGAGATAGATTTCTAGTTTTTTCTGAAAAGGGTTATAACATGACTAATTTCAAGTTATTTAGCTATAAATTTGCGTCATTCGAATGGCGCAGCAGCATCTCAATGATAATTAGAATCGGACCTTATTTTCCCGATGAAACGGACTTCCAACTTTTCCGATATACCGAGAAGCGTTGGTATAAAAATGAACGATCATGCCAAAAGACTGAACAAAGATCTTTTTGCATGGGTAGGTGTTGTGTAAAAGACAATACATGTTTGTTTTTGCTTCCGACGTATCATGGACTTCAAAATCATTCGGAATGCGGTTTCAACAAAAGCATACAAGCCGTCTTGCTATGGAATTTCTCCAAAATAATGTTCCGGAAGTCATGGACTAGCCTTCAAAGCCCTGACTTAAATCCAATAGATAAACTTTGCCCAAAATTCTCAGAGATTTTGAAAGCTTTATGGCGGAAATATTCCGGTAATCGAATCTTGCGGGGTCGATGAACGGCGTTGTAGCTCATTATTGAAAGCAATGGAGAACGAATCTCTTATTAATTTTATATCATTAAATCAGCTTTTAAATAAAAAATTTTCATGCGATTTGGCGTGATCGTCATGGCGAAAACGCAATTTTAATAATAAAGAATTTTCATCAGTATAACAAGTTTCACCGTCACTCGTCGCCCTGAAAAAATGGTAGCCGAATTTTATTTTCAAGTCACATATACTTATTAGGGGTGACATATAATTGTGACAATTAGCATTTATCTCCAAAAAAATTTCTGTCGCCAGAATATTTAGTAAATAGAAAACGGCCGGGATGTGATGTGATGTGACAAATTTCCTAACTCTTTAACTAATCCAAAACCATAATACTATCCCTAAAAATAAATACCCTGCAATACAAATCCGGCTACATTTCTTCCGGGCGACCACTCAACCAAGGTTTGGTTAGTCAGACATTTTGTGGGGTAGATAGAAAACTGGTACGGTACGATTCGCCAGACCAGTACGGTACGGTACGCAATGAAATTTTGTAAATTTATTTTTATTTATTACTTATTTTGTAAATACAACGAATTTTATATAATCAATTAAATGCCAAATCTTATTTTTATTTTTATTTTCATTTTTTTTATTCTTTATATTTTATTTTTTTGGAAAAAACGAAAAAGAAAAAAATCTAAAATAAAAAAAAATAAGTAAAAAAGAAACGTATTGCAAAAAAAAAATTGAAAAAATCAAATAAACAAAATGAAAATGAAAGTATAGCAAAAAATAATGAAAAAATCAAATATAAATAAAATGAAAACGAAAGTATGAAATGGAATAAAAAATAAAAATTAATAAGAAAAGAAAAAACTAAAAAAAATGAAAAAAATAAATGAACGAAAAAAGTAAAAGAAAAAACTATAAAAAAACAAACAAATGAAATACAAATAAAATAAAAATAAAAAAAGAATATCTAAACAAAAAAGAAAAAAAAATAAAGAAAATAAAAAAAAAAAAGAAAATACAAAAAAACTTAAAAAAAACAACGAAATGAAAGAAAAAAAAACAAATTAAATAAAAAATAAAAAAAGAATAAAAAAAAAAAGGAAACTAAAACAAAAAAGAAAAAAAAAAGATTAAAAAAAAAAAATAATAAGTCCGGTAGAAGGGGAATAATATTAATAAAAATAAAATAAAAATAAAATAAAAAGTCCGGGGGAATTTAAAAAGAATATAATAAAATATAAAATAAAGAAAAAAAGAAAAAAATCAATTAAAAATATATATATATATACTGGGAAGGAACTTAAACAAAAAAAAAATTAAAAAATATAAAAAATATATTAGATAAAAAAAAAAAAAAAGAAAAATACAAAAATGCGAAATTTGACATCGTACCATACCGTACTGGTCCTATAATAGAGCTTAGTTATAATAGGACCAGTACGGTACGGTACGATGAATGCGATTTCAGTATTTAAAACGAAATTTATTTTGAAATTATGCCATATTATTTCAAGGATAGAATCTAAATGGATTTATAGTAATTGAGAGCAAGTGTAAGATTTAAAGTTATCGACGACGATATGAGAAGCAACGCAACGTTTTTAAATGAATAGAAATATTATTTTGTAATTAAACGTTGTTGTTTTATCAGAATATATTTATTGCGCCATATTTAAATATACTAAAAAAATTATTTTGATTAGGCCTCTATAATTGTTCTTAGAGAGAAAGCTTATATCTGCCGTTAAAGTACTCCTTTCGACAAATGTTTTAGGTACCTTACTAAAATTCGTTATCATTTTGAAACTCAAGAAGAGAAATAAGAAATAAAAGTAATCGTGAATATATAAAACCATTCAACTCGTAAATCATGATAAAAAAGGTTATAAAAATCCGTGTATTAGGTAGAATTAGAGAAATTTATGTGAAACTTTGAACTCGGGACGTTCCCATAAGTAGGGAATAGAATCAATTTTACTAAATCGATTAATCGAAAAATCGAATCTAATTTCTTTTTGATATTAACAGCACAATTTTAATGGTTGGCAAATTTGTTGTAAAATACTATAAAAATATTTTGGATATTTTATTTAAATTATACTTAATGATTTAATAACGGAAAAATGTTAAACACTAGATCTAGTTAAATACAATATTTATTGATTTCTAATATACTTTATAAAACAAGAAATTTGAAAATACTATCAATAAATAAATAAAAATGATTTGTTCTTGAAGTAAGTCTATATTTAATTTTTTGACAAATTCAACTGCTTTAGGAAAATTTCGTAAGGCTGCATCCTTAATATATTTAATACCTAACACCTCATTTTTTTCAAATTTTAACTTTCCATTATAGTGTGTATCGCCTAAATGCCACATAGCTGCAGGTTCATCATTATTAATAGCCATATTTAAATATTTGATAAACTATATCCCTTATTTCCTTATGATAAGAATTACATCGTCATCTGAAAGAGAAATTGCATAGCGTACTTGTGCTTTCGCATGACCCCGGTCAGCAGCTTTTTGAAATAATTGATTAGCTAACTTTTTATTCTTTTTAATATCCAATACATATACACCTTTCCAATAAATAGCGATCAGGTTGCCAAGTTCCGCATGTTTACTAAAACATTCCCAAGAATTTTGCATTTCTTTGTTTTTATATGCAACAATTCCCTCGATTAAGGAATAATATGATGAATTGCATTGCAGGATTTTTAAAATCATCTGATCTAAGTTGATTGCCATATCTTTTTCAGAGTTTCACAATATTTTTAATAATATTTTAATATAATTTCACTAAATTTTACCTTTTTATAGTTTAAATGACTTATAAAACCTTTAGGTTTACCTAGTAACCTTAAATCTAACTATTAAAAATTAAAATTTTTTGTAAAATATAAAGTATTATATATTGTAAAAAATCTATAAGGTATAGCTAAATAACACTTTTTTACTAAATCAAAAAATAAAAAAAGAAATAATAATCTGAGATTATGTAAAAAATAAAAAATAAAATATAAATAGCAAATCATTTATTTTTACTATGATAAACTTATTTAACTGAACTAATTAAAATCTGAATCTAAACCTAAAATCATTTAAAGAATAAAAAAATAAAAAAAGAAATTAGTAATGTGAGATAATACAAAAAAAAAGAAAAAAAGAAAAAAGAAGCAAATCACTTACTTTTGCTAGGACAGACTAATTAAACTGAAATTAAAGGTTAATAAATTAAAAATAAAATTATTAATATTAAATTAACTAATTATTTTAAATTGTATTATAATAAATAACAATAAATATTTGTATGACTAATATTACTATTAATAGAAAAAATTAATACTTAAATTATACCTATTTATTTATTAATAAATTAATTAAAATTATATTATTAAATAATTATTAATTAAATTTAAGAATTTATTTTTTAATTTATATTAAAGTATAAACTTTTTCTTTATATATATATTTACATTTAATTAATTGTTTATAAAATTATATTTGTTCTTATATTGATTTACTGTATTAATTTAAAATTTATGAAATATATTTTAAAATAATTTTTGCATTTAATTTGAGAAGTATTTTTTGATTGTGGTTAAATAATTGTTATAGATTCATTTGAGTTTTAATGATTTTATTTGGCTAATTTAATTTGAAATTTGAAATATTTTTTTTTTATGATTATAATAGCTATATATAATGTATTTGAGTGTAAATCCTCAGTTATAATTTAATATTATTTTTTTGATCTTGATATATTTTAACTATTATAAAATATCAAATTTTCAATTGATAAATTTATATTAAACATTTATATTTTTTTAATAATTTAAATAACGATTTAATTAACAAATTTAGTCATTACTAATATATAAATATCTGAATAAAATCTAATTATAAGTTCATTAATAATTAATAATAGAGCTGTAATTTAGCTTTCTAATAAATATTTGAATTTAATAATTTGATAAAATTCACATTGGCGGTGACTTTTGTCAAAAATTTGAGTTATTTCAGTTATATCATCTCTCTTAAATAAGTTTTTATAAAATTTAAGAACTAGCGTTATTTAACGCGGTAACGGGATAATAAATAATAATAAACAAAAAACAATTTACAAAGTCCAACCATTTTTCTTTAAATAATCAATAGCTTCCTTATGTTGTTTAATAGCAGCTAATCTCATATATTTTTCACCCAATGCTTTATCCTTAATTCCAGACTTATCTGATAAATATAAAGTTGCAGCATTAAACATACCAACAGCTTGGCCATTTTCGGCGGCTTTGGTAAAATATTTGGCAGCTTCAATTAAATCCTTTTTAACACCAATACCTTTAATTAAACAATTGCCATAACGTAATTGAGCTTCAGGATCACCTGAATCCGCTACTTCTTTATATAAGTCTGCCACTAATTTGTTTTTTGTTGCTTGATCCATATCAGTTTTAACATAATTTTGTTGAATATAAAATGCTTTATAGTATTTTGCTTTTATGTCGTTTAATTCTGCATATGCTTCAAAACATTTATAAGATAACTCGCGATTGCTTTTATTTCTCACTGCTTCATCCACTGACATATTATTAAATTCTGCGAAATTTATGGTTTTCGGTTTTTTAATTTCTGGCGGGAAACGAGGTGATGGTTTGCCATCTTTCTTATAAAGTTCTTGTAATACGGTAAAGATCTTTGAAAATTGAGGCCTAAAATTATAATCATGATGAACAGCTAGGATAGATTTATAATGGCATATTAGTAAAGAGCATATAATAGATTTATTAAAGAATAATTCCTACCTTTGTTGGCGAGTTCTTGATATTCTTTTGGTAAAGTACCAAGAGAAAATGGTTCACGATATTTTTTAATGCAAACGAGCTCTTGTATTTTCGTTATATCATTATGCTCCTCATAAGGAATTTTCTCTTCAGCAATTTCCCATAATAGAATACCAAAACTATAAACTTCGCTCTTGGTGTCATATTTTGTCTTATTTTCGTACTTTTCTGGAGCGCAATACCGTATAGCTTCTAATGTAGCAGCATGATTTTTTGTATTATCAGTTACTGCTCGACTAGCTTGAAAATTTGCAATTTTGGCCGTCTCATGATCAGTTATTAAGATATTCTCTGCTCTTATATCACGATGAACGATCTACCAAAAAATTTAACAAAGGATTTCTTTGTTAAGAACTACGAATTTACTTTTTTTTGATGAAACAATTTTATTAAAAGAATAAATATATAAATTACCGAAACCGCGCTCAAGAAATTCAAGCCTTTAGCAATATCAAGAGCAAATCTTAACTTCAGCCTAACATCTAGTGGATGATATTTTTGATAATATTCACGTAAATTGCCATAATCAGCCCATTCAGTCACCAAATAGAATTTATTATTATACGTAGTTAAACCAAAGTATTGAATAATGCAATCACATTGTTTCAATTTTTTTAAAATTGTAACTTGTTTACTCAGATTTTCTTTTTCTTCATTATTACTATCTCCATCAGCCACCAACTTTAATGCAACAAAATCGATCAAACCATGTTGTCTTTTTTTAAATTTTCTAACTCTAATTTTTCGATTATCATCAGGTTCTTCTTCTTCAAAATCATTATAATCGAGTAGTTCACTTTTGAATACATCAGTATATTTATTTGCTGATCTAGATTCCGTCAATGTTTTATTAAGTTCTAACAAATGTATGAGTACAGCCGAGATCTTATGATTCACGTCAGTTAAACCACTGCCAATATCTTCAAGGTACTATAAATAGAATTTGTAAAATAAGAACACATGTAACATAAAGGTCAATTTATGCATTGCATGGTATACTTTACCGTAGTTAATTCTTTGAGATCAGACTTAATTTCTCCATTATCTCGAACTGCACGTATACTAAAATCGACCGCCAGAGAAAAGTTCATTGCTCGTATGGTAGAATCAAACTCCCTAATTAATTTGTTAACATTATTTTCGATACTACTAACTTGATCATACTTGGATAAACCTGTTAATTGAGAAATTTCTCCAACAAATTTATGAATTTTACCAATGATTTTAACTAATTGTTGTAAATTATGAAGTTTTCTTGTTGAAAATAAATTTTCGTTATTGTCTCTACGGTTTTTTAAATTCCTTACGGCAGTATCAGCTATTTGAACTCTATCCAAAAATATCCCACATATTTTTTTATTATGTTCAGCTGTTTGATATATGCTTACTATCTCAATAAACGTTTGGGTAATTTCCTTTATAAGTGGTAAAAAACTCTCAAATGGTAATAATATTATTTCGGTTTCGGTTTCCATTTCATCAAGAATTAATGGTTCATTATTAAGAGTTGGTCCTAAAATTTTAAACTCTTTGTTTAATAAAAAGTAATTATAAAAATTAATATTTAATTAGCTACATATAAATAATCTTTACCATTTGGAGTAGAAGTATTATCGAAATTCGAATCTATCCCTAATTTTTTTTTTTTTTATTTACGAAAATTTGATTATTATTAGATAGTTATGATGGGCAAATGTATAATTAATTATCTTACCATTTTGTGTAGATGTTTGTTCGAGATCAGGGTCTAACGCAAAATGTTTATTAGGAAAATAATTTAGAAATCGATTAATTATTAATATAAGAAAATGCGTTTACCGTTTGGCATAATAGATTCAGAAGTCTCCAAAGCATTCGAACCTGGCGCTAATTTATTATTATCAATATTTAAATTACTGTATATTGTGAAAAAAATGTGTAAATTATACTTACCATTTGATGCAAGAGATCTCTCACGATTCAAATCTGACGTTAATTTATTTATTTTAGAGAAATTTTTAAAAAGTTGTTCATTAAAGGATCATAGTTTGATGAAATAAATGTATTTACCATTTAATTTTATTGTAAAAGTTTTATTGGCATCCGAACCTTGCGCTAAAATGTTTATTTATTCATTATATAATTATAGTTTTGATAAGCAAAATGTATTTAGAAATTTTTGTTAGAACATTCATTTAATTTCGGTAGATGCATACGAAACAAATATTTACTAGCTTTACCTGAATTCCCGCAGCAGATAAATTTTTTAATATTTTGAAGTACAGGCATTGTTATAAGATTTAGGAGGAAAAAATTAAGTGGAGAGGTTTTATATATTTATTGTCAATTGCACAAAAATGTTGTGTCGAACGTCGATCGCTAAAAATAGAATATTATAAATGAAGCTTGTCTTGTGTAGCACCCTTGCTTTTCTTTATTAAGTTACTTAAATTGATGTCTCCGACAAAAAACGCATTTTATTTTGTCATCCATAATTGTCGCATTTTTATTTTGAAATTGTAAATTTCATGCACACATGCAGACTAAATTTTATTTGGGTAGACATTAATTTATTTTATTAATCTACCGAGCACAACATCCTAAAGCGCATCTTTGCCACACGTTTATTAGATTTCTCTTATCTTAAAACAATCAAAGATAATAAGTATGAAATTGGTGTAGTTGAACTTCAATTTAACTTGGTATCGACTTAAAAATGTAAAGAGCAAAAAAAAAAATATTAATAATAAAATATAATTGAAAATAAAATAAAAAGCAGTAAATATTTTGGTGTAACAATGTGAAAATAAAAAAGAGTTGATTTTCTACATATAACGATAAAGTTAATGTATGTATTTTATTTTTTATTCCTTTTTTTTAGGTAATAGTCGTTATTCATATGCTTTGAATATGGATTATTCAGGTAATATCTATTGTTTGGGACATTTCATCGAACCTCATTTGGAAATCATTTTAGATAAACCAGCTTCGCTCGAAATACTACCATAAATAAATGTTTCCATTAAATTTTTCTCTTTGCAAACGGAAAAGTTATACGTGAACTTTTTTGCCAAAAGAATTGTGTATTAACTGTTCGTAAGTATTTTTTTTAAAAGTTGAATATATTTATTTAAACCATAAAAACATGACTCCACAAGATTAATGATTTAAATACAGCAAATCTTTGGCGCAGATAATTAATAAACTTTAAATGTTATACATTATTAATTATTAAATCTATTATCAATCATATACTATATTTTTCGGCATTAATAAAATTCGAGTCGATTTTGACCCATACGGAACGCTAGTATCGATTTGTCATATCAAAGGTTAACGAATTTCAGCTATAAAATAACAAGAACGAAACAAAGGAGAGAAATGAAATGAAAATGCCACTACTTACTAAATCAATTTATTAAGAGACACTGCGGTCCGTTTGAAATTTAAATTGAATTTCAAATATTAGTAATGATGTAAATATATATATACAATTTTTTAGTGAATCTGTATTATTATTATTTTATTTTATTATATTCGAATTTTTTTTTTATCGTTCCCAAGTTATCCTTAAAAAAAAAAAATATTAGATTAAAATCATAAAAAATTAAATGTAAACCATCACGAACACTAAAAAAAAAAATTGGAATAAATTAATTATCAATAAATACAATTAAATTCCTTTAATGTTATACTTGTAATTTAAAAATAATTCTGATCCAAATTATCTTCATTTCATTCGCCATCGGAATCGTCGTATCTCTTTCTTTGTTGTTTTGGCACAAATAAATCAAGTAATATTAGATATTAGTAGTTCATTAGGATTAAAATAAACAGGTAAATGTCAATCGAAAGAAGATTTAAAAAAAAAAAAAAAAATTGTGAAAATCAGCTCTTTGGGACCTGCTTTATTTAATTTGGAAATTTAATTCCACTAGATCTATCCACCTAATAAACAAATTCCTGAAGATAATACAATATATTCAAGTTATATTGGACACGACCTTGTGAAATTAATTTGTGATAAAAAATGTTGTGCTGATCACGAAAACCCATATAAACACACACTAATTATTTTATTACTCAAATTTATTAATTTCTCATATATAAATAAATTCTTTGATGATACACTATTAGATGATTGAGATTCTGGACTTTTTAATACTAATAAAAATAATAAATATAGATTTATCTTCCGTGCAAATTCTTTTCTACTACTTTCTTATAAAAATTTAAAGGCTAGATCTAATGAAGATTTATTGGTAAATAAATGTCAAATGGTATTATTAAAGTTTGAGATATATTTCAAATTGTAACGTCGCCATTTTCCTACATTTGTCAAAATAAATTAAACTTTATTATGAAGATAAATTAACAATTGTTTATAACTCATTCAATTTTTCAGAAGATATTTTTCCCGAATTATTATTTTTTTTTGGTGCAAATCATAGAGAATTTCGATTAAAAATTTAAGTTCACTATTCCAGCTATGAATATAAACCAGCTTTCAGCAATATATTCATCTTTGATTCGTGCAAAACAAACACAAACTTCATTATAAATTTTCGTGAAAAGACTTTTATTTGATGTGCCCCAGTTATTAAACTGTACTGTATGTTTAATTACAACCGGGGCAATCTTCACAAACATAATCGCAACAGCCACATATTACGCATAGGCATGGTTCTCTTTTCACCAAACTTGAGGTTTTCTCACTAGAAGAAGGAGCTGAGAAAGCAACATGACTGAAGGCTGAAATGACGACAATAAACATGAAAATGTGAATTTACATGATGACTTTGGAAGTATTTGAAGGATTAATATCACAAATGTAATTTATAATATGTGAATTTTATAACAGATTCTTGTGGGAAATGTAGCTTAAAGACATGTATTTATAAGAAAATCAGATTAGAGTCACAATTTAAATTATTTGATAGAATGGCTGTCTTTTGACAATGAATACAAAATTTCCTCACTTTAAATAATTTTTTTAAAGTATCAGGCTTAATGGGTTTATCTTTAACAACTTATATTTGCTTGCTGGAGATTCTCATAAAGAGCGTTACAGCCTTTACAGCTTTTCAAATGCTGTAATAAATATTTTGCAACCAATCACATCACACTATTGTAACTCCTAAATATAATCAGTTAGAAAAAATTTAAGCTATTGTATATATATAATGAAATGAATATGATTCTGCCCACAGACGATAATTTGTTCAATTATGAAGATCAATTCCGGTCAGTTCACAAATGGGATATTGATTAACTAAGCCAAAAGGCTTTGGTAATGTATATATGAAGAAGCTAAGTCAGAAGGCTTTAAAAATGCAACTATAGAGGTTAATTTTTAACTGGTGTTAGCCGCAGTTTATACTGTGCCTTAAAATGATCGTCAACTACGCTATATATCATACATGTAATACATGTATCATTTAGTCAACTTTATATTATATGTATCGAATAGTTTACTTTTTAATATAAATATTATATAGCCTTATTTTCATTACTTATATTATTTTTATTATATGTACTTATTGAAAGGCATAGTATAGTATTAGTTAGTAATTTTATATAAATAGACCTGTAAGTTGACCTTGAATTAACAGAGTTTTGCTCAGGGATTGAGATAAGTCTTGGGACTAGACTTATAACTCTACAGTTTTAATAAAGTTACTATTATACACTTTCAGCCTTCTTCTTGTCTTCGTCATAGAATTGATCGTGATAACCTACTACACAAGTAAATCGTGATAATAAATTGTTTTATTCATTTATCGTTAATTTCTCTTAGGAAAGGCCTTTGAGATAACAGTGTTATTAAGTTTCTTAGTTTTGTTAACTTGGTTTGAGATAATTCCAGGTCTAACAGTTTGGTGATTCCTGCCAGGAGAAAGACTTTTGAAAGTTAAAATTGTAAATGAATTTAGATTTATATTACCAACTCCAAGAAGCACATATTGAACAACATATCAAAGGATAAACAACCTTATCAACTGACTATACCTGTCTAAGTTGCCATCTGATACCAGAAGATATCCCTAAGAATTTTAGAAATTTTTGAAATTGGATTAGCGCAGAATTTGAAGCTGTCATATTCACAGGAAAAACTTTGTCGTTATTCAATCAACTATTAGATAAACTTGCCACTCTAATCTTTCTTGAGCAACTGCAAATTGATACAACTACAGTAGCTTATCAAAAACTATTACAAATTAGAGTCGAAAACTATTATATAGTTTAACTTTTATCAACCCTAAAATACTTGAACCAGATTCAGAATTTGTTGCTTTAAGTGTAATTAAAGCAGCAAAAGAATCAAACTTCTTTAAAGAACCAGTTAAAACCCAATTTGACCCAATAGTACCATTAGAAATAAGCCTTATCCTGAAACCAATCGACATTATGACAGGAAAAGATAAAAGTAATAATCAACAAAGTGGATCAAAACCACCTAAACAACCATCTAAACAACCACCTAAACCAATACCACATAGCGGCTCTTAAGATGGATGGAGAGGTGATGATGAAGATTATGGAATTGGAAATAATGAAGCATTAGGTGATAATGGTATTGTAGCAATTATTAGACAAATGAGTGATTCTTTTAAGGGAATTGCTAAAGAAATTAGAGATGCTCGATCATAGGCATACCCTAGGGAAACTAATATCATACAAGTACAACCATTCTGGAAAAATGATAGCGAAGACCTAGAGGAATGGCTTAAGCACTTTGAAACAGCTGCAATAGCGAATAATTGGACACCTGAAAGGAAACGTAGTATTGTCACAGGATATTTAAGAGGACCAGCGGCATTATGGTATGATAATATAGTAAATACTATTCGTTATTGGAGTGTACAAGGGCAAAACAATGTAAGTTTTGTCCCTATGTTTAGAGCTCATTTCACCACAGCTAGGCAAAAGAATAAATGGCATTATGAGCTATCTAATATCAAACAAATGACAAATAAAAGTGTAGATACTTACAGTGCTAGATTCAATAACCTTAAAAGATTAGTTGATCCAGGTGATAATTTACCAAATGATTACGAAATTAAATTATTTTTAAATGGATTAAAACCTAACATTGCAGCAAGAGTCGCAATAGCAGACCCTGTTAATCTTAGAGCAGCTGTGAATGAAGCCAGAGTAACTAAAGCGGAAACATATTACATGAAAGAATCCCCACAAGTCACTAATAATAATGCAATTGAAGCTTTAACGAAGCAAATAGAACAACTCTCCCTTAATTATGCGAATATTGTCAATGTGTTAGTAGCACAAAATGGGACTTCAAAGAACGCAAATATCCAACCTAGAAGTACAAATATTATAAGGAATAATAATGATAGAAAACCTTTTGACATAAGCCAAGTAATTTGTTGGTAATGTGAAGAAAAAGGTCATTATTCTAGGGAATGCTTATCTGAAAGACCTTCCAAAACGAAGCCAAGAAATGTTAATTTAATTAAAGTTTTTACTGATGATGAAGAGGAAGAGGAAACATCTGAAGTATATGCAGGAGAAAGGTCTCGACCATATACTACTGACAAAAAAAATACAAGAATACGACAAAGAGAAATGACTAGAACTTCTGAGTCGAATAAAGAAATGAATCTTAGAACTCGTGTCATTAATCCAACTGAAATGGAAGTAAAATCCACTCCTAAACAAAAACCAGTTAAAAGAGCACAAAACCCTTCTAGAATTGATAATCTTACACCATATAATATAGCTGATGATATCCTATCAAAGCAATCTTTTGCGACCCTGGGATAATGGTTACAAATACCAGCCCAAAGGAGGAATTTAGCAAATGCTTTAAGACGTCATCTTATATCAACACCTAGTGTTAATTCTTTAGAATTCATAGATGATGAATCAGGAAAGAAAATAACTTCCTGCAAAGCATATATTAGGATTAAGAATAATCCCATCGAAGCTATAATTGATACAGGAGCAGCTATCAGCATTATTACCAATAAGTTGGCCAAAAAGTTGGGACTTAATATTGATAAACCTTCTAAATTAATTGTGATCACAGCTAATGGAAGTCGTGTAAGAGTATTAGGCAAATTACTGAAGCAAGAATAATTATACAATATGTATCAGTTCCAGTAGAACTTCAAGTAATTGAATCACCACAGGATACGTTATTATTAGGAGTAGATTGGTGTAGAAAAACTAAAATGAATCTTGACTTTAGTACACAAACTGCTTCTATTTCATATGTTACTAAACGAGCTACTTTTAACATCCTTTTTGAAGAGGGAATGGTAGATGAAAGAGAAAACTTAGATCAAGTCTTAGATGAATATGAGGAAGAAGATTTGGACGAATATGATGTATTTCTAAGCGAAGTTGAAAATAATGTTCAACCAAAATATGTAATGAATATCATGTATGACCACCAGGATATTATCATATCACAAAGAATTAATCCACGAAAAGAAATGTATAAAATGTGGCAAGTGTCAGGTGGAAAAGTGGAATCTAATGAAATGTCACTTCAAGCAGTATTAAGAGAAATATATGAGGAAACAGGCATTCCAATTAAATCTGAAGATATAGAATACCTCTTTAATGATGACTTTTATGATTGTGATGTATATATTACTAAAATCGCATCAAATTAGACCTTTGAACAAACTGAACCAGAAAAGCAAGGAAAATGGTGGCCATTTTGTTTTGAAGAATACGCAGATATGGCAGAACAAGGTGAAACAACTCCCACTCATACTAAATATGCAGATAGAATCTTGGAAGAAATTTGTATAAGAGTACATAAAAATAAATACCCAAGTATGTATCTAGCTGACTTGCTAAAGGAAGAACAAGAGAAATCTAAATTACAAGTTGGACCATTAAATGCCCATCAACAAAACACATTTTAACAGACCCTCAAAGAAAATAGTAATTTGTGTGCTGGAAGTCAAACAGATACAGGACGAACCGCTATTATCAAACATTCGATAATTTTAGAAAAAGACATACCAATTGCACAAACAGCATATAGATGTAGTCCAGATAACTAACAATTTCTGTATCAAGAAATTGAAGATATGGAAAATAAAGGAATTGTTAGAAAATCAAAAAGTCCATAGGCATCACCAGTAGTAATTGTAGCAAAGAAAACTGGAGATAAAAGAATATGCATTGATTATAAGAAACTGAATGCAGTTACGAAAAAGGATGCTTACCCTTTACCTAGGATTGATGATATGTTGGAATCATTTAGAACAGCAAATTGGTTTACTATATTTGACTTAGCTAGTGGTTATTGGCAAGTTGAAATGGAAGAAAAGGACAAGGAAAAGACTGCCTTTATCACCAATTTTAGATTATATGAATTTAACGTAATGCCTTTTGGGTTATGTAATGCTCCAGGAACTTTTCAAAGACTAATGAACTATGTTCTACAGCCATATGCAGCTAAATTTGTCTCAGTGTATTTAGACGATATCATAATTTATTCAAGATCTTTTGAATAATATATTGATCATATTAAACAAGTTTTTCAAGTATTGAGAGAAGCTAATTTGAGGATTAAACTGAAGAAATGTAGTTTTTGTATGCCTAACCTAACATTTCTAGGACATATAGTTGGAAGAGATGATATTCAACCAGATCCAGCAAAAATTGAAAAGGTAAAAGACCTACCAATACCAAAAGATGTATCTCAAGTTCAATCAGCTTTAGGATTATTCTTCTATTATAGAAAGTTTATTAAAGACTTCTCACGAATTGCAAAGCCTATAAATACCTTGCTAAAGAAGGATCAGATATTTGAATGGACTGAAAAGCAACAAAATGCATTCAACAGTTTAAAAAATTGTTTGATTAATGCATCAATTTTACAATATCCAAATTTTGATGAAACTTTCTATCTATATACCGATGCATCAGGAATAAGTTTAGGAGCTGTATTAGCATAAAAGGATAAAGAGGAAAGAGAATATCCTATCGCATATGCTAGTAGAAGTTTAACTCCAGCAGAAAAGAATTATTCAGTTACTGATCAAGAATGTTTAGTGATAGTATGGGCTATTTAACATTTTCATCATTATTTATGTACATCTAGATTTGAATTAATTACAGATCATTCAGCACTAAAATGGTTACAAACCTTTAAAATACCGAAAGGATAACGTGATAGATGGATGATGGAGTTACAGCCTAATTACACTATTCAGCATAGGCCAGGAAAGCACAATGCGAATGCTGATGCCTTATCAAGAATTAATAAAGAACAATCTGAAAAAGAAGATGTTCGTGAGATTTTTATGGTGTCTATCTGTGATGAAGAGCCTGAAATTGAATGGTATTCCTCAAAAAAAGAAAGTTCAACACCTGATCCTGAAGAATTATGGTTTGAAGAACAACTGTATCAACAGTTTGCAAATGAACCATTGATTACTGCTGTTAGATATCAATCACCTAAAGAAGAATTGAAAGATATCTATCGCGAATTTATTAAAGTTAAACAAGTTATCGCTGGACAACCTATTACAAAGGGAGGATCCCAATGTAATTTTAATTGTGATACTGAGAACCATCATATTCATACTTATTGCAAAGCCTGCAAAAAAAATTTACCTTATGGAACAGTTATTCATAATTGTGTTATAGGATATAGATTGAGACAAATATAACCTGACATGAACCCTAATTATCTTTGTAATAATGTGTTTTGAGAAGAACCATTAGTGATATAACAACAAAATAATGATATTTTACTAGCAAATTTACTTGAAGAACTTCTTGATGAAGTTCCATTGTATTAAAAACTGATTTTATTAAAATAATAACTAGAGTGAAAGCGTAAGTGTCTACAGTATGATAGATAGCTCTATAACAGAATGGATGACATATATTATAATCATATTTTTAATTATTTGAGAACAGAATCATTATCACAAAATTTAACAACAATAGAAAAACAAAGAATTAAATGACAATCAAAGAATTACATTATTAAATTTAATATTTTATATAAAGTAAAAACTATTACTCCTAAACGATTATTAAGAGAAATAAGAAATAATGAATTAGATGCTTTATTATATATGGCACATAATGATCCTTTAGGAAGACATTTATCAACAGATAGTATATTTGACAAGATTAGAACACAGTATTATTAGCCTCAAATGTATGAAAGTATATGAGAATATGTACAAAAATGTGATCCTTGTCAAAGGAGAGGGAAATACAAACGAACTGAACCTTTGCATCCAATAGATGCAGGAAACCCATTTTATAGGATAGAAATCAATATTGTAGGACTTTTACCTATTACAAAAAGAAAAAACTGATATATCGTAATAGCAATGGATTACATGACTAAATGACCTGAAGCTAGAGCCTTATCAGAAGCTACTGCGGAACAAGTTGCTAATTTTATTTATGAAGATATCATATGTCGACATGGATATTCACAAAAGATCTTATCTGATAGAGGAACCCATTTTAATAATACAATTAATTGCAAGATTGATGGAAAAATTTCAGATTAAACATAATTTTTCAACTCCTTATTACCTACAAACAAATGGCCTTGTAAAATGATTTAATAGAACATTAAGTGAATCTTTTGCAAAATTGATAAGACATGATAAGGAATGGGATTTTTATATTGCACCAGTATTATTTACTTATCGTACAAGTTAACACTTAACTACAAAAATAGCACCTTTTTATTTATTATATGGAAGATCAGCAAAGTTACCTACTGATGATCCTTTAAATGAGCAATCATATGGTAATATAAATACCAGAATTAAGGAATTGATAAATGATCTACTAGTCATAAGATCTAAGGCTAAATTGCAGATCACAAATAGCCAACAAAAACAGAAAAATCAGCATGATAAGAAAATCAAAATGAGATCTCAATTTGAAATAGGAAATAAAGTCTTATATTACAATGCAGCAAACGAAACAAAAAGATCTGGAAAATTAGATCCAAAATGAAAAGGACCTTATTATATCTATAAGATTTTAATAAATGGATCATATGAGTTATGCAAGATGGAAGGACGAGTTTTGCGTGTATCAGTAAATATACAACTATTAAAAGCTTATCATAAAGATTAAATTAGTTATTTTATTTTTTTTTATTATATATATATATCCTTTCGATATATGAAAATGTAAAGTAAATCTTTTACAATGTCTAAAGTTATTAATTCTCGCTGACTACAACCTTTATATGCAGATTTAGAATGAGATTCTTCTCTTGAAATTCTTTTAAGAGTACCCTTTAATGATGATATGACTTTACAGCAAAAAGTTCAAAATACATATCGAGCATTACTAAGAGCATGTAGGATAAGAGATCATGTATTCATCCTTGTAAATGCTTATTACTTAGGACAACTTTTGGAAACTGAATCAACCAATCCTTCTGAAAGAATGATATTGCGAAATATGGTAACTATTTACTATTGACTAGGAGTTACCAGAATTTATTATTTATTTGAGTTTCTAGAAGTAGAACAAATCCAACGAACTCGAATTATTAATTTTTCAACTATATGACAACTCAAAACTTTTGAGTTTAGAGCTTTAGTTAATTATGCTTACCAACTTTCTATCAGAAATGAGGAGAAAACTGATGAATTTCTCTCAGAGTTCGAAAATTAGAAGGGAAAAATTGTTAGCCGCAGTTTGTACTGTGCCTTAAAATGATCGTCAACTGCACCAAATATCATACATGTTAAATATGTAATACATGTATCGTTTAATTGACTTTATATTATATGTATCGAATAGTTTACTTTTTAATATAAATATTATATAGTCTTATTTTCATTACTTATATTATTTTTATTATATGTACTTATTGAAAGACGTAGTATAGTATTAGTTAGCAATTTTATATAAATAGACCTGTAAGTTGACCTTGAATCAACAGAGCTTTTGCTCAGAGATTGAGATAAGTCTTAGGACTAGACTTATAACTCTACAGGTTAATAAAATTACTATTTTATACTTTCAACCTTCTTCTTGTCTTCATCATAAGATTGATTGTGATAACCTACTATACAAGTAAATCATGATAATAAATTGTTTTATTTGTTTATCATTAATTTCTCTCAAGAAAGACCTTTAAGATAATTGTATCATTAAGTTTATTAGTTTTGTTAGCTTGGTTTGAGACGATTCCAGGTCTAACACTGTGTATTTAAACATCAAATATTATGAAAATCGCTTGTAAAACATAATATAATATCATGATTAAATTTAATCACGCGCGATAACGATAAATTATGAGCTCATTAATAAACTAGTTTAAAAATTTACAAAAATGCCGCCTCAAAAAAAAGCAAAATCGTTTAAGTACTATTAATAAAAAAATAGTTAAACGATGCTGCAATTCATATGCTATTAAGTAAATGAGACAAGTTGTTACTTATGCTAAAGAAAATGGAATAATTAAAGCAGCAAATACTTTTGAACTTGATAAAGGTATGGTTAGTTGCTGAGTCAAGTCAAAAGAAAATGGGTAAATGAACCAAACCAAAATAGCAACGAGTTAGCTCTAGACAAAAATGTTTTTATCCAGAAGCTAAAAAAAAATTATATGGTTGGATTATTGAGCAGAGAAAACAGGGATTAGGTGTTTAATATACAATCGCACGAGGTAAGATGCTGAATATTTTAAAAGAACCTGCTATGATGAATCTTTATAGAGATTCAACAAATGAATTTAAAACATCAAACCGTTAGATGTTTACATTTAAGAAGAAATATAATCTTTCTCGACGCTGGCGTACTAAAATTTCACAAAAGCTTTCATCATAAACTGACGAGTTATTAAAAAACTTCTATCAGTTTATCATCTGCCTTAAGACTGAAAAAATATTTGAGTTATCCAATATTCTTAATATGGATGAAACTCCTGTTTGGTTTGATATGATAGGAATCTTTACTATTGATAATATAGGTGAAAAAACAATTCATATTCGCAGAACTGACACTGAAAAAAATCGATTTACAGTTGTTTTGATATGTGCTGCAAGTATGAATTATTTGACAATTGTTTTTTTTTTAGCTTTTTTTACTTATCTAATTTTTTATATTATAGATAGAATAAAATTTCCACTAATTTGTATTTTTAAAGGAAAACGGTTATCTCGTGATAAATAGATTCCATCTAGTATTATTGTTTAATTTCAGCAAAATGGATGGATGGATGTTATTTTAATGAAGAAATATGTAGATTTTATTAATAATAATCTAAGAATTAATAATGCTCCAACAATGATGATGTATGATTCTTTTAAAGAACATCTTGAAGAATCAGTTAAATCTAAGTTTCACGATATTAGTATTGATTTAGTAGTTATTCCAGGTGGTTTAACTAGCATATGTCAACAATTTGATGTAACTATTAATAAGCTAGTTAAAGACAATCTTCATAAGGAATAGCACATTTGGATAGCAGAAGGTAGTGCAGGAGTTACTACATTAGAAAACCTTTATCGTATCAAGTTATCTGATATTTATAGGTAGTAAAATGTGCTTAAGAAGGAATCCTAAATAAATGAAATGATTATAGGGTCTTTTAAGACTTATAAAATTTTGACTATTGATAAATCGGATGATAATATTACTGAAAGTGAAGATTTTAGTGATGATATCATTGATTTTAATAATGATATTAATAGTGTTTATAATAATAGTGACATTGATAGTGATATAAATAATAATAATGATATTAATGATATTGATGATGATGAATAAATGTAGATTTTAATAAAAATAGTAATAATATAATGGTTTATAATAAATAAAATAAATTTTATAGAAAATAATAAAAAATTAAATTTATTAAGTGCATTTAACATTTTATTAATATTTTTTATTATATTTTATTATAGAAATTTAAAGATTGCTTATTTTTAGATCTATATTAATTTGTTAATTACTTATTTTCGGGGATTGTTTAATTTCAGAATGGTATGGTATGTAAATTTTTTGATTTTTTTATCCTTTATAAATAAATAAATATATGATATTATAAAGAAAGTGATCTTTGCTATATATTATTTACTTATTTTATTAAACAAAAATAATAAATTTAAAATTCAAAAATTGTATTTTAATATTATAAGATTTCAATAGATTTTACTATCTATCAAAACTTATGTTACCTATAAAAACTTTCACAATTTTGTCTTTAATAAAAATATATGGTAAAATATTTTGATAGGATTTAATTTAATGCTTATTAACTAAAAATACATTTTATTGGTAAAAATAACAAAAATTTTAAAGTTATAAAAATATTCTTTTATAATTATATTAAATAAACCTAAAAAGTATTAATTATTATATAAAATTTCTAAATTCGTTAAAAAGAATTTAAAGCTAAAATTTTTATTATTTATTAATTTAAAATTTTTTGTTATCATTTTATTTCTATTTTTAGAAATCAGTATTAAGGTCATGAATAGGTAGAAGCATTATTACTATTTTAATTTTAGTTAAATTCTAACTTCATTTATCTATAATTAAAATTAAAAATATTTATAAAAAGCTCAAAATAAAATAATTACATAAGTAATTTGTAAAGATAGAAGTTCTTTTTTTATTTGCTTTCTTGCTATTTAAAAGAATTAAAAAAAAAAAAAAGGTGAATATAATCTTTTAACTGAATGATTATTTTTTGTTTTTTTAGATCACTTCAGTCTGAAGTATAAAAAAAAACTTAATAAAAGAATATGAAAATGAATAAAATTATTGCAATTGAAAAACCTGCAAAAAATAAAATAGAAATAAAATAAAACAAAAAAAAACTTAAAAAAGAACTTATTTATTTGCTAAAAAATCTACATTAAATTGATTTAACAATAAAAATTATAAAATGAAATAAAAGAGCTTTATAATTTTAAAATATAAAGTAATAAATAATAAAAAAAATAAGAGAAAAAAAAAAACCCTACACTAAGCCTAAATGTAATCAAAAATCCTAAAAAAAAAAAAATAAAAAAAATAAACAATCAATAAAAAATAAAATGAAAAAGAAAAATCGAAAGTTAAGAAACTAAAAAAAAAAAATTGGTTTAAATGTTTTTTTATAGACGGGGTGTTTTAATTCTGATGGATATTTTTTTTGTGAACGCAAAATTAGCCAATCAGAATCCGATTTTCAAGTTTGCATCACATGCATCAGTTTTTTTGTTGGGGCATTTGATGCACCAAAATTTGCATCAACCAAAATTGAACAAGACCTCGAAGATCATCGAAAATCAACCAGTCACAACAAATCAATTTAATTAATTCGATTTTAATAGAATCGATTCCAATCAAGTAATTATCAAAGGACACTACTTGTTTTTATTCCTTCTTTT